AAAGAGTAAATTTTAAATGTTTTCACCACCAAAAAATAAGTATATGAGGTGATGGATAAGCTAATTAGACTGATTTAATCATTCCACAATGAAAACATACATCAAAACATCGCAATGTACCCCATATATAGTTATTATTTGCCAATTAAAAATAAAATAAAATGAATTTTTTTTGGAGATTTCTGGTAACCCTTGACCTCACATTAGGTTTCTTCACATAATCTCACAGCTCTTGTAGGCTTTGCTCTTTCTCTTGTTTCTCTGCTCTATTCTGGTGACTGATTTTAAGATGGAGGTGTTATCTTCACCTCTGAGATTCTTTCCTGTTTGTCTACCCTTTCTTGGAGATCTCCACTGTATTTGTATTCTTGAATTGTTCTTCATTTCCAGGAGTTCGGTTACACTTTCTTCATTGTGCCTTTTTCTTTTCCATATCCTGGAGGCTTTTTGTGGTTTCTTTGTGTTGGTTACTGAGTTGTTGTTGTAGCTCGGTGAGTGTTCTTATGATCCACTTCCGAAATTCCTCTTCTGTCATATTGGTTGCCTGTTTTTGGTTGGTGTCCATTTCTAGGGGCTGGTGCTCCTTTTGGGGTGGTGTTTCCGTTGGTTCTTCATATTTCCTGAGTTTTTGCTGATTTCTTCCATGTCGATCAGTTGTTGTTCTTTCCTTTAGGTTACTGTTTGGTATTCACACACCTTGTTTAGTTTCTGAGGCGTTAGGGTGTCTGTGCGGTGAGATTGGACCACTCCCTGTATATTGACGTAGTGGGTGCCGGTGGAAAGGCTGTGCAAGATGCCGTCCCTGTCAGTAGGTGGCGTTGCTTGGAGGAAACAGCTATGCTCTGTTGATTTGTGTCCTGTTATCAGCTCCTGTTCTGGGCGGAGCTGGATTGCGGTAAGCCTGCCCTCATGCAGTTAGCAGGTCAAAGTTCTGTTCTCTGCTTCCTGGGCAACTGTCAGGGCAGGGCTGGAATGGTCATAAGCAGAATCTGGGTGGTGGG